AAGGTGGTACCTGGCCCAATGCTGGTGCAAATTTGGAATCGAACTTCAACCTTCTCAGTAGTGGTATTGCTTCAGAAGTTTGTGGATAATTTACGTGAGGCGCCTTTACTCGATTCAGAGGTATAAAGGTCACCCGTCCACCCTTTCGAGAATTCAGGTGTCTAATTATCTGGGTTGAAATATCATCATTCTCAACTACTACGTGAAACAGGCTGCTTGTACAACAACAGATGAAACGAATTGGTCATAAGGTAAGAAGTAAGGCCAAATAGTGAACAGCGTAATCATTCGAGCTGTGAGGTAAAATATTAGGGAGTTTCCTGCATACCTGTTTCCAGCAGTGACTTCAACTGCAGTGAAAAACTTTTCCTCGCAATCAACCAACTCAACAAGTGGGCCAAAAACTCCATTGATCTTATACTCAGAGCAAATTCGTTTAATAGAGCCCAGCCCTCGCCTTACATCCTGATACAACGAATCAGCTTAGTTGCCAGAATCGAAAACTGAAAATGGCCAACTTACTATAAACTAGAAGTAATTATAAGGTCAGCACATTACTGAAGGAGCTTGGATGGATCTAATTCATCAACTAGTTTTGAAAATTAAAAACGGTGAGCGAGCTTAAATGCATCATAGCAATACATAGCAACAATAAAATTTGTATAATCACTCACTCCTGGAGTTGCATGATCAAGGTTTTTCTTTGCCCTTTCAAGTTCCGTTTTCAACTTCTCAAGTTCAGAAGATAGTTCACTTTCTTCTCCCCATTTTTCCCTGTGTAAACAAATCTTATGTTATATTAAAATAAAATTGTATTCTATACTTACAGGTATGGAAATAACAGCAATACTTACTTTCTTTTCCTCTGTTCTTCATCTCTTTCCCTCTTCTTAATATTAAATTGTTCATGGGACTTAGAAATGTGAGATTCCAATTCACCAATTTTAACTTCACATTTCTTGATGTCTCTATCACGCTCTGTCAAATCAGTATTGAGGCGAAAAATTTCCTCCTGAAGTTTTTGCTCCTACAACAGACAAAGCATGTTATATCACCAATCATATGAAACTGATGCCATGTACAAAAGATTATAGAGAGATCCAAATGTCATAGATATTGCAAAATTTCCATCTTCTATATGTAATAGAATGAACTCACTTGAGCCAGATTTAAGTTTAGAACACGCTTAAGATCTTCAATCTCCTTGCGGAGCCATTTGTCTCGTGCAGCCTTATTTGAAAACTGAGTTGCACGGCCCTGTTTCTGATAAAGAATGCTAAGCTTTTTCTCCAGATCCATGATTCTGTAAGGCAAAACATAAACAGTTGTCCATGTAAGAAGACTCGAAAACAAAAACGTAAACATTTCCAATCTGCATCACCATTTAACTCGCACCTAAGCTTTACCAATTTTAACTCAGCACCAACATACAAACCACTCATTTTTAGTAGGAACAGAGATAATTTCCTTTCGCACTGACATTATATAGGCCTACCTTTTTGTCGTCTGCTTCTCCTTGTCAACTTGACTTTCATACAACGGATTAATTGCTTCTAGTTCCTTCAAAGAATCCTGCATTTCTCTTTCCACCATGCTAAGTTGCTCAAGGGCATCATTCTGAAAGGCATAGTACTTCATTAGTGCACATTATCCAAAAATATATTTACAACCAACTTTAAATGCATACTGATGTATACTTTATTCTCAAAGTTTAACTGCAAATGTGAGGGAGTACCTTAGACTGGATATTTCCAGCAATCCGCTCCTTAAAGTCATTCTCATCAAGCTCTAGCTTTGTCTTCTTCTTTATAGCTTCAGTTTTTCGCGCTTCAATAGTTTCTTTTTCCTTGTTCAATGTTTGAAGCTCCTTTGTCAGCCCTTTCAGCGACTCATCTAAGCTCCTGGACTCGTCCTGGGCTTTCTCAACTTCATCATACATTTTTGTCGACTCTTCAGATTCCTTAGTTCTTTTAACTTCTACCTGGATAATGACAAAAAAAAAGCCCAGTGATGAGTGAAGTGATAAAATAATAAAACGACACTCGCTCATAGAAGGGCATAGAAGCTTAGAGTCTGGCAGAGCACAAGAAGTCATTAAAATTATAGTAGCACTAGTAACAGAAAGACCAACAATAGTTCACTGGAAAAAAAAACTAGTAAGACAACACTGAAAACATATCCCTAATGTTATTGGCTCACCTCTTCTAGTTTCTCCCTAGTATCGTGAAGCTCTTTGTCGTAAATGGTGTACTCCAGTGATTTTCTCTGCTTATCAAGTTGTTGGTATTTTCTGAGTTCTTCTTTCTCTTCGTCCAATTCCCTTAGTCTTTCATCCAAGTACTGCACAACTTGGATTATCTGCTTTCTTTTATTCCCTGGGAGACAAGTCATGTATTAGATTTTGATTGAAATTATAGAGTTTCAACTATTACTGCAGACTGACAACTTGCCTGTATCCTGCATGATTTTTAAGCTCTCGCGGCGCCTTTCCTCATAAACACGGGTACCACCAATCTCTTTTAGCAGATCCAACCGTTCTGGGTCTTTCATCAGTGTCAATGAGGCTATCTACAGACGAAAAAAAAACACATTTAAGCAATAGAAGTTTGTTAGCCCACATTAGCTTCTCAAATCTTACAACATTATCTCTTACAGGAGCTAACCTTTCCTTGCTGAACAACATAGTACGGATTAGAACGAGAAAATCCAGCACTCTCCAGTAAATTCATAACTTCATTTTTTCTGCAAGTTTTGTTATATAAGTTTTCTACCATCAACTAAAGAGGGCAGTGGAAAAGAATGTGAAAACTAAAAGATTAAGTACGCACGTAATGTGTTTCCCGTCCAGGAAATATTCATCCTTCTTCAGACCAATCGTTCGGCGCAAGCGAATTTCTTCCTTATCAACCTAGTGGAGAAACATAAGCCACAGATCAGAAAACAAATCAAATGTACCATTTTCGAAACAACTCTGCATTGAAGAAAAAGAGGATTTATAATATATAAATCATTACAAAAGATCAGTCACACCCTATAAATAGCCAAGAAAATGATGACAGTTTAATTTAAGTGAATGACATAACCACATAAAATGAACCTATAACAAGTCCAGTAACACAGTTCTCCTGCCTTGAGCTTGCAGAATATTAACAGAATTTTCAGATAGAACAAGTAGTAGGGCAAAAGAGTTAATACCGGGATACGGTTGTCGGAGTTATCAAAGACAATCTCCACGAACGCAGACCCAACTTGATGACCAGCACCTTCCTGTTCAACAACAATAAGTTCAAAGTTAGATAATTTTCAGGATCACTTAACAGAGGTAACTATGGATAAGCCTGCAGGAAACAAGAAGGCATACATGGAGAAGCGCATGCCTATCTTCATTCCGCAAATTTTGGAAAATGTCACTCAACACAAAACGAATTGCTGCACATATTAAAAACCAATAATAGGTCAATAATTACTATTTTTGCATAAAACGAAATGAAAAGGAGGAGAGTGTGATGAATCTCACCATGGAAGAAGTTGCTTTTCCCTGAACCATTTGCCCCAACTGCAATTAAAAAAAAAAAGAATCAGTTTCAGTAACAAGTTTATACTTCAATTGAACATTAAGGTTTTAAGCCTATCTAATTGCATCCCTAAACCAAAGGAAAGGCGTAACTGCAAAGATCCAGAGACTAGCGAGAACTAAAGAGTAACGAAATAGAAAAAGAGATCCGTTGATTACCAACGCAATTAACTTTGGGGCTAAAGATCTCAGTAGCAACTTGCTCTTTGTAACTCTTGAATCCTTCGATTATAACCTTTTTGCGAAACCCAAAATCCGAAGAAAAATAGTTAAGTGTTTAAGCAGCAGATGAAGAGTAATTAAAATTTAAGAGGGAAGAGCTTATGCGTACCAGCTTAATATACATAGCGAAATGTCACCCAGCTACTCCCCACCTGTTGAAAATCCCCCACAAGAGATTGTTAGGTCAAATCGAGGGATGAAAACTCGAAACCCTAATTATGAAGAAGTTGAATTATACCGAGAGCAGATCGAAGTAAGAGGAAGGAAGAGTAGTTACCGATTCAGTTTGTTGAGAGAGAGAGAGATAAGGCGATTGGGGAAAAGCTTGAGGAGTTGAAGAAACACGAAATAAAATTGGAGGCAAAGTCGATGAAAAATGACCGGGAAAAAATCATTTTCAGCCCAAAATTAGGTCTCGAAGATGCATCATTTTTGTTTGTTGGATCTAACAGAGCGAAACAGCATATGACATACATTAATACGTTTCCTTTAACGTTTATTATGTGCATCTTTTGTTTTTTTTTTTTTTAACACAAATTTATTATGTACATCTATAAAATTTAAATTATATTTAAAAATAAAATTTTCTTAGTATTTTCAATTTTACTAACTTTATATATATATATATGTATTTTCAAATATTTGGGTGATTCAGTTTTTTTATAGTTCGGTTTATAAGTAATATTTTAAAGTATTTGGTAATTAGTAAACAAAATATAATTGATATATTTAGGTATCTAATACAATAAAGTTGACTATTCTCCCTTCTTAGGGTGTCCACCTCAGATTTTTAGAGGGGGGCAAAAAATGACACCTCAGCCATTCTTTATTGAAATCAAACCGACCAAATTTAATCTCTCCCGTATCGGTTTGTAATGCGTTTGGTCATGGTTTATTGTATAAGATGTGGGCTGGACTATTATTCTCTTAGGCNTATCTAATACAATAAAGTTGACTATTCTCCCTTCTTAGGGTGTCCACCTCAGATTTTTAGAGGGGGGCAAAAAATGACACCTCAGCCATTCTTTATTGAAATCAAACCGACCAAATTTAATCTCTCCCGTATCGGTTTGTAATGCGTTTGGTCATGGTTTATTGTATAAGATGTGGGCTGGACTATTATTCTCTTAGGCCCAATTATTATCAAAGTTTGGGTAATTAGTATTATCAAAGCTTGGAAACCTAAGCAACGCCTCTATAACGTCTTCAACTTTCGGCAATCATGAACGCCAATCCTACGAATCCGCCCACTCTTTTGCATTAACTCGGCTTCATCATCCACCAAGCTAACAGTCCGAAGCTCCCAACCTCAATGCAACCAGATCCCAAAGGTTAAGCATCAACTCTACATCGGAGAATTCTTACACTCTCCTGCTGATTTGAAGGTTGGTTGCTGTTCAAACACCGCCCAGGTCCGCCTTCTGAGGTTCCGGCAGGCAAGGAATGTCAATTGACGGTGTGATGCTGGTAATCTGTTTCAGCGATGAAGGAGGATGGAGGGAGAGATGGTGGAGGCAAGGCGGAAGTGAGTGATGAATCGTTTGGGTCACCGCGGTGTAAGATACGATGGCAACTGCATGCAGCACACGTGAGGTAAGTTGGATCAAAAGATGTGAAGGTAGTAGAGGGCATAAACTCGCCGTAAACTTCGAGCGCGTGACCTCCACTCGCGTGGTTCTTGAGTGGTGGTGGATGTGGTGGCGGCGTTTGATGATTACCTTGCTGATGGAGATTGGTTTAGCTGGTTGGATCTGGGTCGAAGTTTCGGATTTGGGTTCGGGATATTTAGGAGTCATATCAGTTGCTCCGACTTCAACCATCTATGGGTTTTTTAATTTTCAAGCATCTATGTTTAGCACCGTAGCTAAGGAAGATCTTGTGAACATCTGATCCAATATCATTTGTTTCTGGTATGGATGTGGATTATTTGCATTAATCTTCCATGTATAATAGTAAATTACTTATCTTTATTGTATTAGATCCTCTCATGCTTCAAGCTGAACCCATTTGAACATCTTAACCTATCTTTAAACGGCAGTACACAAAGGTATTCCTCAGTTTTGTAACACTGCGAATACATTTTAATTTTACTAAATCTTGGTTTCTTCTGGTGATTTTAGTTACTATGCCACTGATTAAGAATGCATTAAACATTGTGTGACTAATTTGAATTTTTATTTTTCGAAACCTCATCATAAACTTGACTTTTGATCATTTCTGAAGGACCAAGAAAGACAAAGCGACACAATAAAAATCTGGGTATTTTCATTATTATAGATTTCTAATTCATTTCAGTATCTCGATGTTTTGAATTTTTCCTTAGATGTTAGTGAGAACAGTTCTAACTACCATATGTTTAGATAAGCATTGGAAATGGAACCAGAAGAGATGGAAAACTCCAGAAACCCATGAAACCATATGTACGTCTCTTTTGGGTTTTGGTTTTCTAAGCTTTCATCTTTTAATGATTTATAGTGAATCATATCTTTAGTTTGGCGCAACATTTTATAGGATAAAGAGGAAAATGATATCACAGACACGGATTGAGCTTCGTTACGATTGAGAATGAAGAAAATTAACATTGTTCAAATTCTCGACAGAGTTGAGAGCTTCATACAGATGCATTTGCTTAAATAATTTGATATGCTAATCAAGTCTGCATTGTTCATCAGTTATTCTTTTTATGTAGGTTTCTAACTTTCTACAATCAGGGGAAATATAGCTCAAGGAACTCATAACCAATCTAAACAACGCTTGATCATGCGAGAATAAATATAACCTATCATATTTATGTGTTTAATGTTTACTACATACTGAAATGTTTATACACTCATGATCACATGAATATAAAATTTCATACATGTGGTAGATATTCAAGAACATATTTGGGAGGAGGAGATCAAGGAATTGTGTTTTTGGCCATTTCCAGTAAAACACAAAGATGCTACACACCGAGAGCTATAGGTCACAACTATACACTACAAAATCCTTCACAAGAAAATGATGCATTGAGGTATATGGTCACCAAAGGAAACCTTTGTGTAATCTGAATTTAGAATTGGAGATTTGCTTAAAAGCTTCTTTCAGTTCACATGCATTACCTTCACTGAGAGGATTTAATTTTCATAACTTTAATTTGGAGATTCTCAGAAAATGCAGTGGACGCTAAAGTCCCACGTGACTGTGATTTGCTCTTTATCATTTGGTTTGTGCAGATGAATTTCTAAAACCAAGCCACTGAATTATATGGCTAGATAAAGGATGATTTTGTGGCTGGAGGATTGCAAACAGTCAAGAATATGGCTCAAGTCATCAAGCTTTGGTATGGAGAGGTATCATTTGCTTAATAAACGAAGCTTCTCTTGCTCGATAACAAGATACATGATGATATTCTCTAATATCCCACTTGCCTACCCCGAAAACCTAGAATCTAAAATATATCACATCTCCACATGCCTTGGCTAGGTTTCAACATTTAAGCTCACCATTTTTGACATTTGTAAACAGATATGTTATGCAGTTCAAACATGAGCAGGATAAGGTCTCATTTACAAAAACTATATATCAGAAATTATGCAGTCAGGCATCTCATTCTCATATCTGAATTTCTGAAGGGATCGTAAAGAGTATTCCTGAAGTCTACGTTCTGTTAAAGGTGATGATTTGATTTTGAAAACATATGTATTTATCATTTGTAGCTCTTTTTCTTCTTTGTATCTCATGTCAAATCTTTCTTTTTTGTAAAAAATTCAAAGGCTACTTAGGTAGGGTATAGGTGTTGTAATATTTCTACTCAGATCTCAATTTGGCAGTCTGCGTTATTTGAAATTCTTTATCCATTCGTTAAGAAACCTGTTCTAATTTTTGGACATGAGACTTCTCTTTGTTTTACACCAAAACAAATAATTATGGATGTTTACAAGATGCTCAAATTTGTTATACAAGAAACATTTCAGTATATAGTAAACATTAAACACATAAATATGATAGGTTACATTTATTCTCGCATGAGCAAGCGTTGGTTGAATTGGTTATGAGTTCCTTGAGCTATATTTATTCTCAATTTTGTTGTCACAGCTACTCCATCCTGAGTCTGATGATTCTGCTCAGCTAGCCCAGGTAAACAAAATAAGTAATATAAAATGCTGGAGATAATATGATATAAAAAATGTCAATCCTAAATGTTTTTTTTTTCTCTCCAGATTGACCTCTCACCTTTTCTGCTATAAACTTTGAACCAAGTTGGTGTATTGACTCTTTTCAGTCACTTTTCAAGCAAAATCTGATACAGATTCTGCAACACTATTCGTGGAGAGCAAATATAAGAAATATGTAGCCTTGTGTTTGACATTGAGAGATGGGTAAGTTATTTTTTTTAAAAGTACACTCTATATTCGCCTTCAGNGACCTCTCACCTTTTCTGCTATAAACTTTGAACCAAGTTGGTGTATTGACTCTTTTCAGTCACTTTTCAAGCAAAATCTGATACAGATTCTGCAACACTATTCGTGGAGAGCAAATATAAGAAATATGTAGCCTTGTGTTTGACATTGAGAGATGGGTAAGTTATTTTTTTTAAAAGTACACTCTATATTCGCCTTCAGCCCCTCACTGCGCTGCCACTAATATCTACCCTTTTATGTGTAAAAAGAGAAATGGAGGTTTACATATGAGTGGAGATCACAAAAGGGACATATTCACAAAGGTTGTTGAATTCTTGTCTGAGATCAACACTCTAATGACTTACCAGATCAACATTTCTTCTATTGCAGAGTTCCTGCAGCATTGGGGATGATAACAACTATGACATACCAAGACATGACAGGCCCACGTGGTGAAAGAGTTTCAAAAAGTTCTTGAGCAGAACAGAACAATTAGAGAAGGTAAGGTGCTAAATAATTGGCTAAAGACAAAGCAATTGTGTATGTTGCAGCTGAACTTTTCAAGAACAAGAGCTTGCAGAGTTTGTATGTGGATGGAAACCGGTTGGTTTCGGAGTGTTGGCGTAGACAGAAGAATTTTCTTTACTTGATTTGAAACCTGTCAGTGTAGACATATGGTTGTCATACGGCTTCTTCCTTTCCGGGACGAGAAAAAAAAAAGTTTCTCCGAGACATCATCATTGTAAAAAAGTTTATGTAGAAATATATCCTTAACAACTCTTGCTATTTAAATAAGAGATGACCGATTCAAATTTCAAAAGATGGATTTTATTTAAATAGTAAGAGACCTTTTAAAAATCTCAATAGCAGAAATGTATATTTTATTTAATAATTGTGTTGCCTAACATAACAACCAAGAAAATAACAAATCGATGAAATTTAGGAAAGCATAATTAAAATACAGGTGGTACTTATGTAATTAAAAAATAATCAAACATTCCTGAATCAATGAACATGTATTACACAATGCAAGTTAAACAAACCTAAAACTAAGACACTTGATGTAATGACATATTAGACATGCAAAGTCTCTAGAAATAATGGTTTCATGTAAAATATAGCTAACCTTTCAAAATAAAATTAATATCAAATATAGCAATTCCGCGCGAAGCGCGGACCAACCACTAGTACAAAAATATATTAGATATTCCAGTATACATTCAATCATTGGTTTGATTTTAGTTCGGTTTCGGTTTTCCATTCCACGGATATAGGAACCGCTTAGTCATTTGTGAATATTAGTTCAATTTTGGATTTGTTTTTTTCAATTTAATTCAGTTCTTATTTGTTTTTTTTTTTAATTTTTGTTTTATATGCTCTATGCCTAACTGGGGTTTGATTGATAATCAATTATGTAATCAATAAAGCTTGTGGTTCATGGTGTAATGAGCATTGGTTGTGTCAAACCAGATTTATTAACCTTGAGTATGAGGGAAATAATTACTTTTCTTTAGAATTAAGAGCTTGGTTGTTTGTAGATTTTACGTTAGTTTTTAGTTTTAGATTTTCTATAAACCACTTTTAACCCAATCATGATTCTGGTCAATTAGGAGGTTGATTGTTTACAGATTTTGAAGTGGTTTTTGGTTTTTGTTTTTGAAAAAACTAATTTATAGACAATCAAGTTTTTAGAGAAATATATTCCCTAAAAGATAGGGAAACTGATTTTTAAAATAACTGTATTTTTCTAAAGAAAAATCAAAATCCAAGTTTTCTTGGTTTTTGTAATTTGCGTTGGTTTTTCATTTTTTTCCTTTTTAAATTAAATTTTTTTTTGCTATATTTATGCATGTAAAATCAAATAAAAATGATAACTACTGTAAAAATGAGTACGTAACAAGCACTTGCTTAACTTATATAACAACATTTTTTTAACTTGTCAATAAAATGTTATGTTACTTGTTTTGTTACTAATCTATTAGTATTATTTGTTACAAAAATGTAATACATCTATGCTAATCATAATAATATTTATTGTACTAAGACTATTAAAATAATTTAACTGATTTTATTTACGTTAAGTATTTGAATTACTTATATTTTATGTAATTAACCATCTATTAGTTTTTTAATTATTTTTCTTTTTTAATAAAATATAACTATTATTTGTCTAGAAGTAAATGCACTTCAAAATCCAGTTATTGAATAATAATTTTATAATATTTGGATCTAAATTTTAATTTTACCATATCTTAAAAATACAACTAAATTTTATTTAGTTTAAAAACTAAAATTTTCGTGGAGATATAAAATTAAATGTATTTTAAAATATAGCTATTAATTTTTATTTGATATATATATATTAACAAAGTTTTAATATAAAGTTATTTCTTTTAGTGATAAATTAAACCATAAGTCAAGTTTTGTAAAAATAGTTCACATATTTAAAAATAGAGAAACCATTCATACTATTTTAGAAACAAAAAAGTTCTTAAACAATTCAAATTAAAAAAAAGAAAAATCGAAAACCAAAATCTAAAATCTAAATCACCAATCATGTTTTTCAAAAATCTAAAATCTACTGCAAAATCAAAAACCAGAAATGAAAAACCAAAATCTAAAAACTAAAAACCAAAATCTAAAAACCATTAAACAATCATCACCTAGATTTTCTAATTTTTAGAGAATCTGGTTTTTGCTTCCTCTTACTAATTCCTTCTTAGAAACCACGAGTTTGGACATCTACGTTGGTTGTTTGTAGATTCTATGCTAGTTTCGAATTTTAGATTTTTCAGAAACCACTTTTAACCCAATCACGATTCTGGTTAATTAGATTTCTAATTTTTAGGGAATCTAGTTTTTGCTTCCTCTTACTAATTCCTTCTTAGAAACCAAAATTACGATTCAAGTGGTTTTTTCCTATAATATATATGCCAAAACAAAAAAAAATATTGATTTTTTTTATTATTATAAATTGCTAATTTTAGTAAATATTATATTGAATCCGATTGGTGTGTGGGCTTTGAGAGCTTTGTGGTTGTGTAAAGCCACTAAAACCAAATATTTGCCAATCATTTTTGTAGGCTTTAGAAATTTGTAAAGTCTTTGAAGCCCACTTAAAAAAAACTGTTTTTTTTGTTCATTTTCTTCTACCGTCGCTTTTTTAGACTTTACAACATACTCTTTCTTTCTATGATAAAAAAGCGTGGGTTTTTTTTTTTGACTTTTTGCTCATTTCTTACTAAAATAAAAGAAATAATAAGCATAATGATTAATAAATTCATTTTTATTAGTTAGTTTAAATTTTACCACCAATAAAAAAGTGATATCTTACTATTAATAGACTATTAACTTGTTGAAGACTAAAAAATATAAATAATTGAAAACATTTAGGATAGATTCAAAAAGTATAATAATTGAAAGAAAAATAAATACAATGATTTATAAATCCATTTCCATTAGTTAGTTTACATTTTACCATCAAGAAAAAATCATACCTTACTATTAATAGACTATTAATTTGTTAAAGACTAAAAAATTTTGTATAAATAATTGAAAACATTTACAAAAGATTCAAAAAGTATAATAATTGAAAGAAAAAATAAATACAATGATTTATAAATTCATTTTCATTAGTTAAATTAGGTTTTACCATTAAGAAAAAGTCATACTTTACTATTAATAGATTATTAATCTGTTAAAAACTAAAAATAATGTATAAATAATTGAAACATTTACGAAAGATTCAAAAGGTATAATAAGTGAAAGAAAAAATAAATACAATGATTTCTAAATTCATTTTCATTAGTTAAATTAGGTTTTACCATTAAGAAAAAGTCATACTTTACTATTAATAGATTATTAATATGTTAAAACTAAAAATATTGTATAAATTGTTTTATTTAATAAATTGTAATTTTATTTTAAATTTAATTTTGAATAATTTTTATTTATTTAATAAATTATTAATTTATTTAAAATTTAATAAAAATAATTTTGTTGATTACAATTTCACATTTTTACAATAAAGAAATAAAATATATTGTTGATAATTTTGATTGATTTTCTGTTTTTAAGCTATCCAATATATTTTATAAACGTGTATAAATAAAAAATAGGTAATACATTTCGAAAAATGAATTATAAACATATGTTTATAACAGTCACAGCTTCTAAAGCTTTGAATACCAATCATGCTTTTAACTTTCTTTAAAGTAACAGTTACAGCCTTTAAAACCAAAATCTTTACAGTCACAATTCTAAAGTCAAAGACCTAAAGCGAAAGTCATTACCAATCGGACCCATTATATAATACCTACTCTACAAACTCCACAACCACACATGTAGAGTAAACATGAACCTCAAAAATATACTACATTTTTAAGAATTTGGAATTTTCTTACACTATCTTTTTCTGAAGCAGTTTGGAGTTTTGTTATGGTAAACAATAGTTCAATAAAATATTTTTTGTAAACACTTAGATTTGTGTTTTTCTTTTTGCTATCGTTCTCATTTCCATCACATTATAGGTTAGAACATGTTGATAGTCATGACAGATTAATTAGGTTAAAGAGAACATAATAGATTTTTGTTTACCCAAATCTTTTTTTAATAATATGATGGAGTAAATATATACTTTTTAGTGAAATGCAAGAATATATTATATGTACAAGTTTGTAGTATAAAGTATATTGTTATATCTGAATTTTATGTCTATACGCAGAATTAAGTTGTTATTATAAAATATTATTATGGCATAATTTATTACTATTAGTATTTATTTATAATATTAAGTTCCATTTAACTATTAATAGTGTTTCTTCTCATAAGTATGATACACCAAAGACAATAATCAAATGTCAAAGAGTTATTGAAATCATGATGAATGCTAGAATGGTTGCATTCAAGTAATTTTTGAACATCATAACCATCAGTTTTCTTTATTAGAAAACTATAATAACTTTTATTCTTTTTTAATTTAGAAAATATCTGAAACTGCAAAGCTCCGAGCACACTCCCTCACTGATCTCGACAGATTGGATCGACTTTTTGGAGGCAAACACATTTCAACTGATGATGTATACTATCCAGGTTCTGGAGTGGATCAGAATACCGAGTCTGAGACGGTTACTGAAATACGACATTGTGAATCTAGAAGATGATTCTGATGTGCCTTCAAGAAACCAAAACGAAACACCGCTTTCCTAAAACCAGAGTACCAAACGGATGTAGGGAAACACTTCGTGTAGTTCATCTTCAGCACGTAAACGAGGAACAACAAAGCCTTCATATGACTTCGTAACAAATGAAGCCTACATGAAACGAACATAACTTTATGTACGATCCCAAGATAACAAGCTTGAACGTGCAATTGCCTCATTACAAACACTCTCGGGTCTTCAATATGACCATGTGTTGTATTGGGGGGCAGTGAATGTGCTTCAAAGTAATGAGACACATGCACATGTTTATCTTACACTACCCGGCGATGATGCAAGAATTAAATATCTCGAAAGAATGACATGAATCAGCCGAGAAGCTGAATAAAAACTTTAAAACTCTTGAATAATTTTCTTTCCCGTATTTTAATTCATGTTTTATTTTGAATTAATTTATTTTTGTTTCTTTTGTTTTTATTTATCAAATAATATTTGTTTATTTTAATAAATTACTTTTTGTTTTTTTTTGTTATTAGAAAGAAGCATTTTACCGAATACTTGACGATGATGAAGCAGAAGATAGAAGTTCAATTTTGGAGAATCCTTGATCGATCCTTATTCTGGGAGTATAAAAAGGTGACGAATGAACCTGGATCCAAAATGTGGTTGAATGCTATAACATAATCCGAATGTATCCACCGGTAGACATTCAGTTATGTGAAAAGCTTAAGGAGGATTATCAGTTGAAAGAGACTGATAATTTAAGCATCGAGGAAAGTGTTGCAATATTCTTTAACATATGTGCTCAAAATGCAACTCAGAGATATGTTGGGAAGATAATTGGTCATTCGCAGGAAACCATATGTAGGAAGTTCCATGAAGTGTTGAGTACTCTCGAGAAAATGGTGGTTCATTTGCTTAGACCTGGTCCAGATGAGCTCACTCAACCTCATCCTAGGTTAAAATCCAATACAAATTATTGGCCTTGTTTTAAAGGATTTATCGGTGCAATCGATGGAACACATGTTCATGTCACTATTGCGGGGAAAGATACAGAAAAATATTGTAATAGGAAAAGTGACACGAGTATGAATGTTTTAGCTATATGCAATATGGATATGTTGTTTACATATGCATATATAGGTATTCCGGGATCAGCTCATGATACAAAAGTTTTAGCACTAGCAACAGAGGGCCTCATCAATTTCCGATTGCACCTTTTGGAAAGTATTATTTGGGAGATTATGGTTATCTTCTTCGACCTAGATTTCTTACTCCATATAGAGGGGAAAGATATCGTCCTAGCCAGTACGATGGAGCTGGTCTGCCTAGTAGCTATAAAAAATGTTCAACAAGCGACATTCTTCACTACGATATGTTATTGAAAGGACTTTTGGTGGAAAGGGAAATGGCGGGTTTTAAGAGAGAAGCCAATATACAACATACATGTTCAACGAATAGTTGTTGCAGCTACAATGGCTCTATATAATTTTATGTTATCAAATTTAGGAGATGTTGATTTTGATTCAGACTATACAACTGGTAATGGACCAACTGAAGACTCTAATTCAGATGAAGACTAAGAACATAATAACACTCATGCACATTGTATGGAAGGCATTCGAAATCAAATTTCTGCATTTTTAGGTGATTCAAGGTAGTTCTTATTTTATATCTGAATTTATTGTATTAAAATAAGTTCATATATGCTTTGATAATAGTATTTTATTTTTTATTTTTCAGTAATAAATATTTTACTATTAATAATTTTATTATTTTATTTTTTTAAGAGCAAATACCACAAACTAAAAACCAAAATCTAAAACCGCCAATCAACCTTTTCAAAAAATCAAAATCTACTGCAAAAACCAAAAGCTAAAATCCTAAAACCAAAAGCTAAAAACCAAAAACCAAAATCTAGATTCTAAGAAAACAATCATCACCTTAGGGAATGATTAACCACGGTTTCTTAGTCGGGGTTTTTAACTCATGATCTGACACATTTTTTTACGTTTTTCAGCTAATACACGGTTCTTAGCGCATGTTTAATGTAGGGTTCTTAGGATGGGGTTCTTAGCAGAATATAAGAACCCGTCTCTTAACTTTTAACTAAAAAAATTAAGAACCGGCTCTTAAAATTCTTATTTAAAAGCCGGTTCTTAGTTTTTTTAGTTAAAAGTTAAGAGACGAGTTCTTATATTCCGCTAAGAACTCCACTGTAAGAACCCCCTTTCTCTTAAACATGCTCTTATATCTTTTATTTAAAAGACGGTTTTTAACTTTTCTTAGTTAAAATCTTAGAAAATCTAAAAACCGTCTCTCAGCCGAAGCTGTAAACCTCAGTTAAAAGACAGGGTTAATCATGGTTTTAGTGTTGGGCATTCGGCAGGAACCAAAACAAACCCAACCGACAGAACCTAGATTTTTGGTTTAACACCTGGTTAAAGCTATAAATCTATCAGCAAATTTTAGATATTTAATCGATTTTCGATTTAGTTTGGTTCGGCAAGCATAACTGATCGGTTTGAGACATAACGAAAACAAATAAACAAAATATACCAATTTTTATGCACCCAATTTTAAGTTTTCAACTAAATAAACCGATTTATTCAGATAACAATGTATAACCCAAATTACAAGTCGAACCGAACTGAAACGAAATTGTTGTTTTCTCAGAAAAAAAATGATGTTTCAATTTGTATTGCTTGAAATGGAAGGAGTATTTTGTTTTCATATCTGTTTTTAGACCTCTGTTTTATTTAAACTTCTATTGTTAGCGAAAACAACGTATCCAGTTAGCAGTTCCACAAATTCAGGTTCACGTAGAGAAGATAACTCCAAAAACCACTTTATTCCAAAAATCACGCATCACGTGTACAATTATTCTGTTATCTTTAATTGTTTGTTTAATTTTAGAGAAAATAGCAATTTTTTTAGTTATATCCTCTCCCATCTTCTCGGCTGACCAAACGTTTCAGAGTTTTATTTCACTTCCTCAAAAAATCCAGCAAATCCCCGAGAAAAATCATAATACAGCTATTTTCTTTTATCTCCATCCTCCTCCTATTTCTACTTGTCCCCCACGTCTTATTTTGTACTTTCTCCTCTTCAGGGATCTTCATGATTTTATTTCCAACATAACCAGAATCAATGATGAATGACCCTATACGGGTCAAGCTTCACTAGATTTTATTTTCTCTGAAACGGTTACAATCTGAAAGATCCCATATCATCTTTCTCATCACGTGTGTTCGGTAATGACTCATCCTCACGTGTTATTAATATCGGAAGAAAGAAACTCAAAGATGAGCAAACACACGGAGAGGAGGAAAGTGGGAGAAGTAGCGGGAGGAGCGGCGGCGGAGTGCGCGGCGGTGTGCTGTTGCTGCCCTTGCGCGGTGGTTAACCTGGTCGTTTTGGCTGTCTACAAGGTTCCTGCGGCTGTTTGTAAGAAAGCGTGGAAACGCAGTAAACGGCGACGTTTAATGATGAAACGTCATGGTTTGCTTGCATCAGCGGGAGCGGCGAAAGGGAGTGAGAGCACCGTGCATGCAAGGTTGAAGGAAGAAGATCCAACGGCTGAGATTGTTGTTTTGGAGAAAAAAGAAGTGAATAGCGAATTAAACGATGGTATCAAGCTTGAGGATGAAATGTTGGAACATTTTTATGGGGCGGGTTTTTGGAGGAGCCCGTCACAGAGGGATACGTCATCGGGAAAATTTTAAATCCTTTGAAGTTTGTGAGAGAATAATAGTATTTCATTTCATCATATGTATAATGTGACTTTGATTATTATGTGGGTATGTGAGTAGAAAGAAAAAAACAGAGCAATATATTTATGCTTTTAATTTTGTTTGAGTAAAATATATGATGTGTACAATTCTTTCGTTGACTGAGCAGTTTTGGATTTTATAATTTGGGATTTAAGTTGTTTTTATGATACAAGAGGAATCTCTAGGCCAAGAGGAAAACATGAGGACATAACCTTATGTTAATTATGCACTAATGACTACTATCAGCACAATCCTAAACACACAAAAAAGTAATGAATTATATTTTTTTAGAAATTTATTTTTTTATTTTTATATTTATGTTAATTTTGTAATTATATTTTTGTTAATGTTAATTTAATATAATTGTTGGTATATATTAAATATGTCAAGTTGCATAATTATACATTTGTGCTATACGCATTTCAAAGATTTATTTTAAATTTTGTTTCTAAAATTTGCAACATATTATAATTTCGTAGTAGTTATTTAATATAATTAGTCAAGAATATTAATATCCAAAAATCCTGACTCGGAATCGACCTGAAAATCAAAATCGTGTACTCAATTAGACTTTGCCTATATACTTGAGTTCTTAAAGTATTATATTTGGACTACACAAATATCAATAGGACATTTTGCAGATTTAATAGTATTGGTTTTTCTTAAACAAATCAGAATAAATCTACTTATCATTATTTCAAACCAATACGCGCCTGAAACTGAATAACCGAAAGTAGCGCTAAACCTAAAATCTAAAGTCCCAACTTTATAGGGATATGACAATTTTTATAAATCCTTTTTATATTCGTAAAAGATCTTTTGTATATATAAATAAAAGTTTGTATTATTGGTAACATAGGATTGAAAAGAAGATGAATACCATTGAAGCATATAGAGAAAGATTAAGAAGAAATCTAGAATGCTCAGCCAGAGATTTGTTTTGGTTAGAGCGTTTGTCTCTCTTCGTGATACTTCTCTTCTCCTACAGAGGAGTCTCACTATTATTCAGTTGTCCCCTTTTCGCTACTACCTTATTCGCATCCTTCTTACCCTGGTATTTCCCTAAAACCTCTTCAGCTGACTGCTCTGTAAGTATATCATATATAAAACATCTTCAATTTATCTTTACTTCATGTTAAATTATCTCTTTTTCTTTATCTTTTAATTGTGTTTCATAATAGGGTTTTGCTATTAGCCGAATGTGGCTGTTTCTATTGGACCGGTTCATGCTTCTGGTGTCTCTATTCGCTTATAAGACCGTCTGGCTTTGGCGTTTTACTGTTATTGTCTCCCTCGCGGTCCACTATTTTTACATCACCGAGTACCTTGATAGATTAAAGAAAACCCATCACGCAGGTAACTAAAATTTGTCAGTTTTACATGAAGGAACCCTAGATAATAATATTTTCTTTATTAAATATGTTAGTTTTTACCTCTCTATGATCTAGATTTATTTTTTTGCACTCCATATGAAGAGAGAGAGAGAGAGATCTTTTTATATCTTGTCAAACAATACGCAACTGGTGGCACATCGACAACATTAGCACAAACCTAGAGCGGACCAACACTAGCTCTAACTAGTGTTTTTGTCCAATCTTATATAGGGTTTTGTTATTTGCTTATGTTTCGATGCTTATTCTAACTTTGTCTTTGGTTTTGCACTTTTCAGAACCGATAGGGATTGCTGATAACTCTAGCGAGGAAGTAGATGTGAGCAAGGAACTGGAGAAGACGAGAGAGTTATTGGAAGATTTGAAAGAAGATGGAAAGAAGATTGATATAGAAATGGAGTTTATAGACAACCTTATCAATTCAGATCTTGAAACACATAGAAGCAACTTGTCCGTGAAACTCCTAGAGTTACGTAAAGAGTTGAGAGATGTTGGAGGGAAGATAAGAACACACAAGGAGTTGATGAACAGTTTTGTCAACTCAGAACTACCTCTAAGATCCAATGTCGATCATGAGGATAACAAAGGTTCGAGAGAAGTGGCATCTCTAGCTGACCAAGTTCATGAAGCCTACTTTGTTATCCAAGAAACAGCCAAAGCGGCTAAAACAACATCTGACAGAGCGTATCTAATCTACTTATTTGCGCAAGAAATCTCTGCACAAATTCAAAAGAAGCTATGGATGATGAAATTAGAAGATCTTGAGAGGTTTTCAGAGCTAAAAGAGGAATTGAGGCGAATGTCGTTGCATTTTGCAGCTAGAAGAATGGAGGCGAAGGTTGCTGCGGACAGAGCCGCGGAGGAGCTTACAAATGCAACGGTGAAGCTTATGGAGGAGGTCGGGATCCAGCAGTTGGAGGAGTCCAAGATCGACTAAATCTTGGCATACGTTGCTGTTACCTCTATTATGTTACAGTGATAAGTAATTTTTATCTTTATTTATGTTTTTCTGTTTTTGAAAAAATCTATTTATTTATGGTACTCGAGGAATTCCTTTTCAAGTTTGAGCATTTTAATTTTCATTTACGGTATTTGATGCATGCTCCTTAGTCTTGTACATAGATTGATTTTCGAGGAATTTATTTGGTCATCTACCTGTAAAATCTTGGACCATCTCATATGATATTACTTACATGAATTTTTGCATACATATATGGATTATTTAACTATTCTAAAAAAATCGAATAGATATTCCTATATTTTCTCTGAATTAAATCTGAATAAATTTTTTTCGTTCTTAACAAGATAAATATATTTTATTTTCATTAAAGCAGACATTTAAAAATATTTAACTACTTTCATATTTATTTTAAATATCAATGTATATTTAATATTTAGTTAATTTCGTAATTATTAAAATAGAAATTTATATTTTGTTATATACTTAAATAAACCTTTTAAGTATCTAATTAATTTTGTGATGATTTTAATCTGATGTACAATTTGTATTAAATTTCTGATATTAATTTGACATGAAATTTTTCAATTAAATCTCTGATTAAGATTTGTTAATTTAGAAATTTGTACCACACTGTTGAAAATATGTTATCACTATGAATGTTCGGTCTACAAATACTATTTTGAAAGTGTATTCAGTTTCTGTTGTTAAATATAGTGGACGGTTTAGTTTTATTTTTCAATAATAGAAGTAAATGGCTGATTTGTTTACAAAAAAAAAAATAATCAAGTTTTTATATAGACCATATTCATATATTATTCATTAATGTAATTGTTTATTCATTAATGTAATTCTTTTTATTTTTTTTATCTTGTGCAATTTTGAAAGTACAATAGGTATTGTACCAATTTATGTTTAAAAAAATAGAATCAAGATTTTATATAGACCAAATAATTATATGTATAAAATAAAATTAATCATTCGCACGATTGTGCGGTTCAAGATCTAGTATGTTGTTAAATGATGAGTTTTGCTTTTGCTTCCAGAATAAAAAAATTTACATTGATATATACTTCTTAGAAGTCTAATCACATTTAGGCACAATTACATTTGTATGTGGAACATTTATATCTTTAATAATAAAGTTGGTTTTTTTTCTTCACTTCTTGGAGGGAATTAATATCCTTGTCACAATTTTATTTGTTAATTTTTTAATGAGTTTTGGGCTTCTATAGAAATTTGTACAATTTTTAAACGGGTTTGGTCTTCTACATAATGTTTACGATGTTTTGTTAAGAGGTGTAGTATATCGTTTTCTTCGCTGCGCATTCGTCCACATCTGACCTAAGTTATAGAGACTAAAGTTAGACAGTCGCTTCTCTGTAACGCCTCGAGGTCGCATTGACTCACTCTCCCCACTCTTAAGCATTCAATTGAGTTTATCCCCTCCATAGAGTAACCAGGAAAAATTCATACCGTAAATATTTCCACACAAAAGATTCATTTGAGACTCACCAGCAGTTAAGAAGCGTTATGGACTGGATCAGCTTCTGCAAATTCAAAACTCTAAAGCTCACATATGTTCTTTCAAACTTCTCAGATATCTCAATAGTAATGTGTTCTTCTTCTTCTTCTTCTTCTTCTTCTTCCTTTACCCCTTTGAAAACATAACAAATTCTTGCATATTAAATTTTCTACCGTTTTAAGCCACTCTGTTTATTATTTTACGGATTGTAGATAAATCAAGTTTTAATGAAAGTTACTCACAAAAAGACCCTTGAAGCATCTAAGATGAAATATACAACTTGAGAATCTATCTTCCTTCTTTAACTGATCACGTCCTAACTTTCAGAAATCATGGACCAACTGGACAAAAACCGTGTTCTTTCTAGAATAGGGTAGGATGCATACATCAAAAACAAAACGAGGTATATAATAAATCATTTTCTACTGATTTAATTTTAGTTTTCTTTATTTTATTTTTTATTTATCTTCACCATCAACTAAACCCTAAATATACACCATGGAGCAAATTCAAGTTTGTGAAAATGGATGTGATAGTAAAGTACTATAGCTGCTCTAAGAAAAAGGAGAGCTACAACTTCTTAAGACTACATGTACATGAAAATATGAGACTCTAGCTTCATACTAATATACAAACAAAAATGATAGATATATAAAGATGGTGCTAAAGTGCATCATTGATTCACTTTTTTTTTGTTAAGCTTAGATGAAATACGTAACTACTGATCATTATAGAGCTTCACAACATGTTGAACCAACCAAACGACATCAGTTTGTAATCTAATCCAAGAAAGCTACACGGAAAATACTAACAGCTGTTATATAGGTTTGCTTTCTCAATCCAGACCCTATTTCTTTAAGGTTTATTGGTTATAATGCTGCATCCAACTTTAACTGAGTATAAACTGAATATAGTCAAAAAGTAATTAACCATTAACCGGCACGTGTAAACAATGATGGTATAGCCAACACACTTATCCAATACCAGCGTCCAAAGTCGTTCGTCACACATAACCACTAGAACTTTCTTCCACGATTAACTTTTCGTAGTGTGAACACTCCCCTTAGAAAACGAGTGAAAGTCCATTGCAAAACGAGATAATTAAACCGGACATCTAATCGGAATAAACCAGAACAAGGGAAAATAAACCGTTTGCAGATTTGAGTAATTTTCCATCTAAATCCCCACATTTTACTTTTATTAAATTTCGCCTCACGGCGTCTAAATCCGTCGGCTTCACACGAGGAGGAGCCTTTACGAAGAAAACATCACATTTTCTCTTCAAATTCAACATCTCTTAGAAAAAAACACACACAAAAAAAGGTTGAATCGTTTCCTCAAATCTCCGCAAAAAAGAAAAAGAAAAGAATCTCTGGAAAAAAATGGGGAAGAACGAGAAGACATCTCTAGGACGAGCCCTAGTGAAGCACCACAACCACGCGATCCAAGAAACAAAGGAGAAAGGGAAACACTATCAAAACAAGAAGGTTCTCGAATCCGTCACCGAGGTTAGCGACATCGATGCCATCATCGAGCAAGCCGAGGAAGCTGAGCGTCTTTTCCACCACGACGAATCCGCTACCCCTGTCCCCATCAATATGTATTATTTGTTTATAAGCCCATCGGTTTTAAATAGTGTTGTTGATGTTGTTTGGTTTTGGTGTGAACAATAGGGACGCGGGTTCGAGTTCAAGTGGCGTAACGGCTAAAGAGTGGAAAGAGCAACGGATGAGAGAAGAGGCTTTACATGCTACTAGTCTTCAAGTTCCTAGAAGGTGTTTGTAGTTTGTTCTGTTACATTTTCTCTGCTTCATTTAGTGATGTTGTGTTTGTTAATATTCAGGCCTCCTTGGACACCTAAGATGAATGTGGAACAGCTTGATGCTAATGAGAAACGAGCTTTTCTCACTTGGCGCCGGAAACTTGCCAGGTTCGTTCTCTTTTACCTCATCTAAAGGAGGTTTCTATCTTCTTTGTAGTTGTTAGTAAAATTTGGAAGTGTTACAATGTTTTAACAAAAGGAATGGTTAAAAGGATGAGAAAGTTGAGAAGAATTCATACTTGCATCAGTGTTTACAAAACTGCAATCTTTTTTGCTATCACTATTAACCATGATTGATTTAGTTGAGAATGATTTTTTTGTTTGTTTGTTATTAGGATAGATTTGGCTCTAATGCTATGAGTTTGTGTTCTTATCTCTAAATAGCATTTGAGAATCTGAAACTTCTTTGGGAATTCATTTTTAAGTTCAAGATTTTGGAATAGAGTTTGTGAACTGTAGGGAACCAACACAGTTATAGCTCATTCAAGATGTTATTTTACTGCTATTTCAGATGCATGGTTTCATTTTTATTATGCCTTACGACTTGGTGACAGACACTTATGTATACCTACTTGTTTTTCTGGATTCATTCAGCCTCGAGGAAAATGAAAAGCTTGTGTTGACACCATTCGAGAAGAACCTTGACATTTGGAGACAACTTTGGCGAGTCCTTGAACGAAGTGATTTAGTATGTCCTTTTTGTCCAGGATTAATATTTTCGCCTCCTAGAGCCCATTAATTGGGTTAAAGTTCATTTCGGAATATCATTGCCTCCTTTTACTTGTCTTTCAGATTGTTATGGTTGTTGATGCTAGAGATCCTCTGTTTTACCGTTGCCCTGATCTTGAGGTAACTCTCTCTCTCTCTGCAGCTTTCTCTTAATAGAGTTCTCCTTAATCCATACCAATCATTTACGTGACGTGTTACTTCCAACACTCTAACACAGGCATATGCACGAGAAATTGATGAGCATAAAGAAACAATGCTTCTGGTGAACAAGGCGGATCTTTTACCTCCTCATGTCAGGTAAAGTTTGTGTCTTGCGTCTTTTCCCCTAATCATTTCGTTATTTTGGCTAACCATTTGGCTTGTAAACACAGGGAGAAGTGGGCTGAGTACTTCACCCGCAACAATATTTTGTTCGTCTTCTGGTCAGCCAAAGCTGCTACTGCTACGTTAGAAGGCAAACCCTTAAAAGAACAGTGGACAGCACCTGAAACCTCTCAGAAGACAGATGACCCTGCCGTTAAAGTATACGGAAGGGACGAGCTTCTTGATCGATTGAAATTTGAGGCACAGGAGATAGTGAAAATGAGGAAAGCTAGAGTGGAAACTTCGCACGGAGAACGTGTTGTGGTTGGCTTTGTTGGGTACCCTAACGTGGGAAAGAGCTCAACAATCAACGCACTGGTAGGTCAGAAGCGAACAGGTGTCACATCTACCCCAGGGAAAACGAAGCATTTCCAGACATTGATAATCTCTGAAGAGCTGATGCTCTGTGACTGCCCTGGCTTAGTGTTCCCTTCGTTCTCAAGCTCGAGATACGACATGATTGCTTGTGGAGTGCTTCCAATTGACAGGATGACCGAGCATCGTGAAGCTGTTAAGGTTGTGGCGGAACGTGTTCCTCGAGATGTTATTGAGCAAGTGTACAACATCTCTCTACCTAAACCAAAAAGCTATGAGTCTCGGCTCCGTCCTCCTCTTGCCTCGGAGGTTCTTAGAACTTACTGTCTCTCTCGTGGCTACGTTGCTGCTAGCGGATTACCTGATGAGACGAGAGCAGCTAGGCAGATCTTGAAAGACTACATTGAAGGTAAGCTTCCACATTTTGCAATGCCTCCAGAAGAGGAAAGCGAGACGGACAAAACTGGAGATGGTTCACAGTCTGAGGTAAATGAAGAAGCTCGCGGTGGGCTTGGTCTTGGTCAAGTTCTAGAGGATTTGAGCTCGTTTGATCTTGCAAATGGGATTGGGTATTCCAAGAAGAAACAAGTGGAGTCGCATAAACAGCTCAAGAAGACACAGAGGAAAAACTGATATGGTTTTGATGTATTGATCAATAAATGCTTGAAAATATGAAACAGTGTTGGATTCTTATGTGATATGTTGTGTCCTTGTGAAATATTATCGATAAATTTCCAGGTCGCTTTCTTACTCGTGAGAAAGCAGCTCTAAGTAGTTTAGGTTTATAACCAGTAAGTTCGTTGTGTAGCATGACGAGACAACTAAACTTAAGTTTCAACCGAATGTGTGTTTCTTAGGTGTTGACTACATATCTTCTAAAACTTTTACCTTTTCATCTTCAACATTACTCGTGATCAATGCACATGCAAGGTTTCTTGTCTTTAAAAGGAAGATCACGATCTTGACGTTTTGCATTCTCACCTCTATTTTCATTAGCTTTGGATTTTGGAGAAATTTATTTAACTCTCCCCAGACTAAAAACATAACAAATAAACAAAATTAATTAAAATCATGGAAAACATGACATATCAACAAATTAACTTCTCAAATAATAGTATAGATAAATATGTTAAAAGTTTATAAAGTGTTTTAAAAACTAGAATTGTTGAAAAAGAAGAATTACTTAGTAAAATCTCAGTAATTGTTATTATATCAAATAATGAAAGAACTAAAATCTTAAATTTTTCCTAAATTTACACGTACGCTAAAGTTACATTTAATTTAACTTTGTAATATTTAATTTATTTAATACTTATGTTTTAATATAATTGAAAATATAACAAGATTTATAAAAACTGAAAATAGAACAAGATTTATAAAAATAGCATATTTTTTCTAATAAAACTTAATTAATAGGAATTCAAAATAATAATAGATTTTTACTTATAAAATTTTTTGATGCTCTATTTAATAATTTTTTGTAGGTTTAGTAATATTTTGTTAGATTTTATCTAAACAGATTTTCCTATAATTAAAAATAAAATTTAAATTCATAGTTAGAACTAATTTATTATTAATGTTTATTAATTATTATGACATATTATGTAACTAATAAAATTGACCTACCATGATTTTTGTATAGTCGATAAAAAGTGACTTTTTAAAATAGATTAGATGTATAATTGTAGTATGTAGTTTTCTAATACATGCATATAAATATATTAAGTAAGTATGTATCTGTAATTAATGAATGTATGAGATGTTAAATATAACAAAGGACCAATATAAAAATGAATGATAATATACGATATTTAAGGGCTATGTTAAGAGGTTATTGTAAAGAAATGGTCCTATTTAGACTCTTTAATGGTAGATAAAAATAATGTCTCTATTTTAATAGAGTAAACTAGATTTTGACCCTTAGTCATTTTTATTTTTAAAGTTTATATTCGTGACAAAAACATTTTTAGGTTTATCTTATGAAATTTCTCTAAATGTTATGTCTAACCGATTGTTCCAATGTCTACTTTTTCAAATTAATAAATGTTGGACCTTATATATATAAAATCATTTATTTTTCCGTAACTACCTTTTTTATATATCAATGTAGGACCGATTATTCTAATGTCTACTTTTTTTTTATGTTTCCACAGTTTTTGGGGACCCACTAATCTAAAAGTGAGACAGTTTTATATAATCATCAATTATTCATTTCCTATCATTTATTATTATTAACAAAATATTTAATTAGTTAAATATTGAAAATAAGTTCAAAGAGAAAAGATGTAATATGCCACCTAGTAATAGGGGTCATAGTTAAGAGTGATCCAAAATTAATAGTATTGATTTTTTAATCGAATAATTTATTTAAAATCCATTAAACTAAATGATTTTATATGAATATTTGTTTCTGTTAAAAGTCTACTTATCAATACTAAATGTCATTAATAACCCGTTTACCACTAATTTATATTAATATTAGATAACTTTATCTATTCTAATTACATTAATTAGAAAATATAATTGTATCTACATTAATAAAAAAATTAATATGTGATGTAATTTGAAAGAGAAGATAAAATTTATCATTGTCAAAGTTCCAGTTATTTTTTTGTGATGGAGTTTTATTTATAAAATGTAATCAGTATTTATATTTTGAAACATCACATGTATTCATCCCTAAATAATAATGTGAACGAACATTGTATTTGAAAATATGTCTATTTACTTTGGTTTGTACAAACTGCATATAATTTAGAGTATAATTTATAGGTCTCGTACTTATATCCATTTCTTAATTTGGGTTTGTACAAAATGCATATATAAATATATTAGGTATTCAGTTTCAAATAATGGTTTTAGATGCAGTTATATATAAAAAAAAAGTTCAAGTATTTTTTGTTCAGAAAAAAGCTATAGTATTTTATTGATTATGATTATTTTTGAAATAAAGGATGGTTACAAAATCTATTATATTGAAATGTGGCATAGTGAGTTAGACTTTTTAATAGTGGTCAGAATTGTGACATAGCTTTACTTGTTAGTTATGAAATTGTGTATATGATCGTGGAATTGATATTATATATATACTCAATTATCCAATAGTATATTTGATAGAAACAAATCGTGAAAGGGGAAGTAACACGTAACTGCATCAGTTAATTCATGTTTAATACTGGATTAATTTTAATAAATAATAATATGCAGTTATAATTGTGGGTGCCGATTGTTAGGGGGAATGAGGGATAGTTACATTCCAAAAATAATATGGTGGATATGATAAAGTACATTTAGTTGACATAATTAATTGGACTCTACTTTTATCAATAGTTCACAATTGTGTTTTATTAGAACTAGGTGTTTTGCCCGCACATGCGGGCTTAATTATTTTTAAGACAATTTAAAAAATCATCACAATAAATGATTATTTTCATCCAAAAAATTCGACGTAAAACATTAAACGTTTTTACATGATAAAATTATTCACAAATTAAAAGAAAATCTATTTTTTCCTTTAAAACTTTGAAAAAAAAATTAAAGTCTATTTCATTTCTTCTTAATTGATAAAAAATATAAAAACTTATCTTTCAATTTGATAAACTGAATCAATAAATATACATTTAAAAATTGATCTTACAGAAAGAATAATATTCGTTTGGATAATAATACAAAATATTTGAATTTATTTTGTCAACAACACTATTATTATTTTTTTGAATAATCTTTTATTTTATTATGATTAATTTATGTTTAATGTTATACTATATAAAATATAAAAATAAATTTAATTTAACGTGTGAGTTCAGAGGTGAAAAGTTACTTTACAAATATATATCATTATATTATATTATTATATTCTTTTAATTTGAAAATAATTACGTATTAGAAAATTTCAATTTTCTCTTTTCAGTTATATACAATTAAAAAGTTAATTTATGAATATTTATTTATATGTTTTCTGTTTTTGATTTTTTATTAAAATATATTTTCCGGATAACAACACAATATATATAGGAATTATCTTTTTTAAAAAAATATATATATTTAGATTATGGATAATTCTTATCACGAATATTAATTTAAATCATTTATCTAATCAAATAAGTATCATTTTGTTTTTATTTTAGGATAATTTATATATTTTATTCATTAAGGGTATAATCAATATTAACCACTCCAACTTTTAACGTGAGAGCTCCATTGCAAAAAATCACTTTGCAAATAATAGTATATGTTAATTTATGAATATTTATTTATATGTTTTCTGTTTTTGATTTTTTATTAAAATATTTTTTCCGGATAACAACACAATATATATAGGAATTATCTTTTTTTTTTAAATATATATTTAGATTATGGATAATTCTTATCACTAATATTAATTTAAATCATTTATCTAATCAAATAAGTATCAATTTCGTTTTTATTTTAGGTTAATTTATATATTTTATTCATTAAGGGTATAATCGATATTAACCACTCCAACTTTTAAAGTGAGAGCTCCATAGCGAAAAATCACTTCGCAAATAATAGTATAGATAGATAGATGAAGACAAACTGTTCAGTTGCCCGATTAAACATTGGCAACCTTCTGAACTAAATTAAGTCGCTATCGTCCTTTTTTCTCTTACATCAATATGCTTTACGTTAATTTTTCCATTTTTATGTGAATTCTTAACCACCAGCCGCTGCTGCAACATTTGTCCGCCGACATGGCTATAATCATAGTCTTGGATTTTCATGTGTTTATTAGGTAGGATAAGAATTGGTTTCCATGAGTCATATCTATTTGTTTCGGGTCCAGGTCCATACGGATCAGTTTTTTTTCGGTTCCGATTTTTCCAGGGTTATGAATTTTAGACCTGACTAAGTACTTACAACATTTTAGTGCGGTTTTGGATCGGATATTTCTGAGTCAATTCCAATTCAGATTTTCGGATATAAAAATGCATTGGCCTAGTTACATTTTCCAAATAAAAATATGGGCTCCCAAAAGTACATGGTCGTCCCTGGCCCTTCTGTATAGTTATGGGCTTTTGATATAATTGTTACCCTAGCCAGCATGCCACCTCTTTTATCTTCTCCTTGTTAGAAAGTTACGTTTCCTTTTCTATCGCTACCACAAGACCTCACAATCTCCTCTACAACGGAGCTGCTAGATCTTCATCTCCGTGAGACCATGGCTAGCAACAGTTCTGAGGTTATCAATATCCCTCTAGATCTAATCGTGGAGATACTCAAGAAACTTCCAACAAAATCTCTAGCGAGATTTCGATGCGTCTCGTATCAATGGGAAAGTATTATCAACAACTACATAGTCATTGATTCGATCGTGACTAGAAGATCAAATAAACCACCCCGTGATCCCCACTTCTTCTTCCAGAAGCTTTTGAATGAACCATCACAACGTGGTCTCTACCGGCGTTCGTTCCCTACCCATAAACCTTTTTCCATCTTATCGTATACTTGCCTTTATCATCAAGTCACAGACGAAGAACAACTCTATCACGAGGAGATCATCGGAAAAGGCCAAGACTATGTAAGAGGCTTTCAACACGTACGTGGCTTAATAGGGTTTTCGTGTTCACGTAACGTTCAGTTCACAATATACAACCCTACCACGAGGCAATCTCTTTTATTACCCGCTACGCGTTTACCAGGAACCTTGGTCTATTTATTCGGGTACGACCCTTTCAAGAAACAGTACAAAGTCTTGTCTCTAACGAAAAACCGAAGTGAACTGTCTTGTAAGATTTTCGTGTTGGGAGATGTCTCAAACGAGTGGTGGGACATCAAATGCAGCATCGGAAGTCACTCCCCTTTGGCGGAAGCAGTTTGCATGAACGGGAAAATCTATTACAAAGCAAGAAAAACAAACTGGACTCGTGTTTTGGTGAGTTTTGACGTTAGGCATGAGATGTTTAATCATGTTCAGACACCGGAAGATCTATCGTTGTCTGATTACCATGGAGATTTTTCGATTCTTGTAAACTACCATGGGAAATTAGGATGCGTATGTCGAAACAAGTTTGGCCTGAACACAGTCGATATGGATGTTTGGGTTATGCAGGACGCTGAGAAACAAGAGTGGTCGAAGATTACGTTCTTGGACATGCTTCACGGTTTACCTATTTTGAATATCAGATTTGCGGGTGTCACTAATCCTGGAGGCGAAATCGTTTTGGTCCATGAAGATTATCTCAGTGAGTTTGCACTAGATGTTTATTATTATGATCCGAAGCAAAATGGTCTTAGAAGAGTTGAAATCCAAACTACAACATCGTTATATAGAGTAAGGCCTAGTAATAGAGTTACAATCTGGGCTGTCACGGATCACGTTGAGAACATCATGCGCTTGTGATTCTCTGCATTAGTTATATTATTAGTTTTGGAATGCTAAATAATATTATGCTACTTCTTTCTTGTTTTGGTTGTTTAGTCATGACTGAAACACAATTTATATGTGTCCACGTCTCATCTTTGTTTGATTCTGGAGGATAATGAGTAATTCAAGATCAGCTGGAAGGGCCGTACGCATTTGTTCGTTTTGCTTTCTGTTTTCTTAGTTTGTTTATCACTTTAGCGACCAGACTGTACTTTGCCTTTCTTTTGGTACTATTCATGTTTATATAAAATAACAAATAATCTCATATCCATAAGAAATGATAGTTGAGGCTGTTGCCTGTTGTAACACATTTACACACACGAACACAATTACAAACACACACAACTAAAAGAACACACATGATCTCTATTTTATCAAGCATTTGATCGCTTCTATGCCATCTTGAATATATCAAGAACATTGTGTATCTATAGTCTTAAGCTAAGCATTGTTATCTACAGGTTTTATCAAACTCTATACTTTAGTCATTTCTATGCTACACACATTCAACTTTACGAAACCACCCATGAACTAAGGCTATACACACAAGAAGCCACAACAACATGCAGATTATATTTTTATAATGTATATCTATTCATATCTCTAATCCATAATTTGATATGTTAAAGATGGATATATCCCCGATATCTTAGTTTCATTACTTGTCGACCCAAACTGAATGTTGTTGAAGGATTGGTCGCAAGAATGAGGCATGCCAAGAGAAAGGGAGACACTGTTTCCAACCATTGCGTGATAGTTTTCGAATTCTCCATTGAATTGGATCAACTTAGCTTGGTTCACGTGTTGCTTCCCGAACGTCATCACGCTACAACTTGAGAATGCGTTTTGCATGGAGGTTTCATTTTCATTGAATCCTTGATGAAACGTGGGTAAGATCAAATTCGAAGATTCATCTGAAGTTGTATTGTTGCAAAGTTGCTTAGAGAATGAACCTTTGTTACCATGTTCACTGAGGTTTCCTTCTTTTCTGCTTTCTTCAATATTCATTTCTTCCCAATACATCTCCTCCACCATTGGTTTCCACACTCGAACTCGAGCATTTATGAACCAGTTTGATACCTACATTCATTATACACAGCAATGTATTAATAAATTATTACAACGCTTGTAAAGAAAATATCTAAGATTATGTTTTTCTTTTCCAAATTTTGAATATTTCTGGAATACTTTTAATACATAATTACAGAAACTTACCTGGCTTTTAGTAAGGCCAGTCTGTTTGGCAAGCATTTCTTTATCTAAATCCCTTGGATATCTATACAGTACCAAAACAGGGCACGACTAATTGTTAGGTTGCACGTTTAAAAAAAAAAAAAAATCAATACTGTTATCATATTTCAAGATTGTATTGTTAGAAAGTCTAATATCAGAAATAGAGATAATTCTAAATTAGTCAATTCACTCACTGTAAATTAGTTCTGAATTTGAAGAGTATGATTTCTAGCTAAACATTTCCTTCTTTTTTTTTCAGATCCTAGCTAAACATAATAATATTTTTCCTAACTAACATTCTGATAGTTATCCTAGCTAAACATTCTAATATTTAATAGTTGCACTATATATCTATTAGAATATGTAGGTAATGTTTTCTTACGGGTGGAGAAAATGGTTGAAAAGCCAACTCCGGAGAACGGAAACAGCTGCTTCGGGCAAACCTCGTTGTGGTCTCCAAGCATTTGAATGGTTATGTGGCATCTTCCCCAACTGCTTGGCTAAACTTACACCTTCATATTCTTTTTCTCCTAACAAATTGTTTATGTGTTTGATTTGCAAACATATCATGTCTTTCACAGCACGAAACTTCTTTGATATTGTTTGCAACGCCATATGTGTGTACGAGTTTGCTGAGCCTAAACCCGCTTCTTGCTCAAACGATGAGATTACTGTCTGCATTTGGTCGTGGTATTGCTTGTATATTTGTTCAACCTGTGTAATTTACCCAATTCATTTCCCAAATCAATCACTAAATCTTCAAAACAGTACTGATCAACAAAATACTCAGTATATGATGTATGCTAGTTTTCTTAGTAACCAGTAAACATAATAAAATTTTAAGTCATTTTTATGTAAAGCTTTTGCCTATGTATAAACCAAGTAAATCATGTGCATGAATATCATATATACTACTTATAGAATATGTAAAACATAATTTTCTTATCAAGTAAATCATAATACATGAAAGTGTGGTGGATTGAGTTTGTTCTCTTGCCTCAACAAAACAACTTTATCAACATGGGTTGTTTGTAAGAAAAGTGACACCAAAAAAATGTATTTCTTTTTCAACCAAACGGTTCTGCCAAAATAATATTCTCGGGCAATAAACTTGACCAAGTTAAATTGGATTTTAATCAAGTTCCCTCCCTTTAGGGTGGGTATAGATAGGTTACCTTTTCCACCATGGAGATGAGCTTTGCTCTCTTCAACTGTAACTCCTGCCGACAAACGCCGGGCTTAGGGCCACCATTTATGTTCCCAAATCCATTGTATAATCCATAAGTCGCCGACTCTTTATTCATTTGTTGCTCTTGTTTGGCGCCACGGCTACCGTTCCCAACATGGACAATCTCATTGAGCAATTCTTGAGCAACTTTTAAGTAGGTCGGAGCCAAAGCCCTGAAGCTTTGCGTTACTCCTCCGTTTGAAATCGTGGAGATCGTGGAAGAGTTCGCTTGTTCGATATGATTTAGTAGTTCATCTTTGTTCATTCCCCGTGGTTGTTGTTGGGGCACGAAGCTCAAGTTGTAGAAGTGATTGTTATGAGCATTAATGGTCATTGTCTGATCAGGGGATGGATTCAGGTTCACCATAAAAAGATCGGAAGAGGGTTCTCTCATTTCAGTTTCTCCTTGGAAGAAAACAGCCATTATATTGTTACCTCAATCTACATATGTATATATGCGCATGTATATTAGGATAAGAAAAAAAAACACCTATTCTAACAATGATAAAATAAATATGCCTTCCAGAAAAATAGAAAGCAAGAACAACCTCAAATTATAGTATACATGGATCTGAAATGATCTAGCTTTGCTTGAAGAAGACGATAAGAGCATACGGAAGAAAAGAGATGATGAAAATGAGAATGGAGCATATCAAGACATTTTATTTACCGTTTTTAATAATTAGAAATGATGAGCTGCAAATTATAGGTGTGAGTTTCCCATTGTCCTCTGTGTTCAATGCTTCAATGATCTGTCAACTAGAAAGTCCAAGAGCGATTTATAATATGAGGACATGTACACATTTCTGCCTAGTAAGTCGCTTTTATATATAAACTATGATTGGACTTTTGAGAAATTTGTATATGTATATTTTCTTCTTTTCATCTGATTGGATAACTAAACAGTGACACTCACGATTATTTTCTTGTGCTACTTTGAATTTCAATTAATGGTCATTAACTAATGACCAATCCTATGTATGAGTTTTCTTACAACGATGATTTTTTATCATCATCCATGACATATGCACAGGAAGTTACATATCTCATTTTAGAGCCTATCCAAAACAAAAACAAAATGTGGATCTATCTGAAGAAAATTATATTTTTTTGTACAATATATATACATATATATATATGTGTGTGTGTTAATTATATATGCATATATGAAGGACTTTTATCAAAAAAAAATATATATATGTATATACAGCATGTATGTGTGTAAATTATTTTTTATGGGTGTAATTTTTCTGAAATCGTACTGAAGAAGGGCTGAAAAGTAGATGGAATTAACTAAAAATAGTTTTGTTCATTGTTTTTGAACCTTTCAGTTGTGCATGGGTAGATGCCTAGACTGGGGACTTGGTAGCATATATATGAGATGATCGAATAGAGGGAAAATTTTAGTCGAGGAGAGCTCCCACATAATGATTATAAAAATACTAAAAAGAGATTTATGATCTTTGAGGGTCATGTTGTTTTTTTAACATATTTTTATTTTGTTCTACTTGCATTTTGTTATTTTAATCAGGTTATTAAACAAGGATATACTGTATATTTCTCTCATAATATTAAACTGTATAGCATTTTGGGATAAATTGTTGGATCCTTTTTAATTCAAGATTGACAAAATAATTTATTAAGTTTAATGCAAACTTTATAAATATGACTCAAATAAAAAATCACTTTTTAGATAAATTAATAAATATACTTAAGAGGAAAAATAATAATATACAACTTATTACTTATTTTTTTAAAAGGCTTATACGACTTATTTCGTTATTGTAAACTTCAACCATTGTATATGGGATATTCTTAAAAGGAAAAAAATAATAATATACGACTTACTACCCAGCCCTATCAGGGTATCACGCAGAAAAATTGTCGTTATATTGATTGATGTATTAAACCACTGCAATCCATATAAGAATGTGCATCCAAATCCCCTCTCTCGCACAACAAAATAGGGTTGATGTAAACTATCGTAATCATATATATATATTTGGTTTGGGGTTGCCGTAAGCCACAACATAGTTTTCTCGCCAATTATGATTTATGATTTATCCCGAATGCTCAGACGGTATAGTAGTGAGAAAGTAGTACTCAATGTAAGCATAGGTGTAGTTAATTATATATTGTAATCGAAAGAATCATACTTTAAGTTTTTTTTTTTGAGAAATTGTAATATTTGTTGTTGAAATACTACTCGTAAGTTGTAACTAGCTTCATTCGTTTTGCCATTTGTAAAAGTAAAAGTGAAATAAGACAATAAAGAGATGGAATTTATCATCATGTGATGTACGCACGTTTCCTATATGGTAGCGCATACATATGAGCCGAACATGAATAACTTATTCGGGTCAACATTGCTTACTAGTTATACAGTATAATACTACTTTTGTTACTAATACTACTTTTGTTACTAAAATCTACAATGAATCTATGTGTATGTGTGTATAATCAAATGTAGGGGAAAGATAATAGAAGTGGGTCAGCAGAACCATGGAGATAGTTTTGGAACGAGGAAACGTCTACTTTCACTCCACACATCAGAAGTCTTTTCTACTTTTTTTTTTGTAATCAAAGAGTTCTATTTAAAAAATACAGTAATAATGTTCTGACAAAAAAAAATAATGTAGCCAAATCAGTTTTGGGACAACAAGTTACACTTCTCTTGTCATCTCCAACAAAACTACTACTGTATGGCAACAGAAAGAATTGTTATTTTGTCAACAAGATAAATACATTTTCTTTGCCCAGACCAGATTTTAAAAAATTGTTTTACGTTCATAGTTTATAGAACATATTTTATATTTTTGACCCCAAAAGGAAAAATGCTGGAGTTAAAAATCTATATTATAATAGTACACTTTCTAAGCTCCACATCGAGCCACGTCAGTAGTTTTATGGGGCCCGTAGATATTTTGTAACTATCCATCGTCTTGGTAAGATGATCATAAACAATGAAATACACTTTAGCCAAGTGGTTTAAGGTGTCTCATTAAGTATGCAAAATTGTGGGTTCAAACCACGCAGCTACCATGTATTTTTGATTTTTTTATTTGAGATTTTTTCATATGGGCTTTTCGTTTATAAAGTTTTTATGTTTTTTTTGGGGGCTTATTGTTTTAAAGATCAAAATAGTTGGATAAACCCTAAATCTTAACAAGTTATAACCCAAAATAGTTAAAAATGAATCCAAAACGAACAATAAAAAAAAAGAAAAAAAAAAACAAGTCTCACGCGATTGCCTATGCGAATGACTTAAAGAACCTTAAAACTATCCTATTATAATATAGCTCAACCCAAAAATAATAAAAAATAATTACAAAAACGAACAGACCAAAATAAAAGTGAATTCCACGCGGGTGTCTACGTGGATGGCTTAATGAGGCTTGAATAATATAGATTAGGAGCTCAAAAAGTTATATCATTGCACATATTTCCTAATATATATTTTCAAAAAATTTGTATGTGAGATAAAATAAAAAAAGAACAAAAATTAATTATTTTCCTTATTTATTAAATGAATATGTAATTTGTCTTACATTTTAATAACTACTATAATTTCATTGAAAACATTACTCACCACCGATTCCAAACTCCGACGAATGGATTCCCACAGTCGATGACGCCGTAGATAAAAATGCCACATCATTTATGAACAAAACTCAAACTTACAAAAAACCACATATAAAACCTATCTAATGAAACTTAAACAACGAATATTAACTTAATTAAGGTTATTTTCAAATTGATAAATCGTTTAATACAAATATAAATATAGAATTATATCAAGTTTTGATCTACGATATAAAAACTATTTACAGCAAAAAAACACACCTAATTTTACACATTAAAAACTATATTATAGCCTAACTATTCCTATAAACCTTACTTCGCATATAAATAACATTTAGCACTTTCCTAATATTTTTCAAAAAAATTGTATGTGAAATAAAATAAAATAAACAACAAAATTTAAGTATTTTTCGTTATTTATTAAATGAATATGTAGTTTCTTTTACATTTTAATAACTACTATAATTTCATTGAAAACATTTCTCACCACCAGGGAATGGATGCCCACAGTCGATGACTCCGTAGATAAAAATGCCACATCATTTATGAACAAAACCCAAACTTATAAAATACCAT